CAGCACTGAATCTGCATTTTACTTATAACTAATTTTGTACCGGTTTGTAGGGTGTGCAGGTTTCATTGAAATCTTATTTTATTATTTTAACCCTTTCCGTAAAAGATAAAGTCTAGCGGTCTCGTTGGTCGTGTTGGACCATTTCCGGGAAAGATATTATTGTGCAGGCTCTCTATTCTCTCATTCTTAGAGTCAACAGGAACGGTGTTCTGAGACTTTATGCATTCTAAAGCAAAGAGGTTGATTTCATTGGTACTGATTCACCAGAATGAGAATGACTTACCAGTTTAGAAAAGTGTCTGAGAAAAACCAAAAAACGAAGATAAACCATATACATAAATGTACGGCAGATAATGTACTTTTTTGTTCATCTTTATCATACTTATTGTCTGTCTGTATTTTTATGAATATAAGATAAAATTATAATTATTAACATATTAAGAACTTGTTGAATCTATAACACATTTTGCTGATATTTTTTTTCTATATTGGAAACTATATATGGAAACCTTGAGGGTTTCCATGAGATCTCTTTAAAGAGAAGTCGTCCTGTGTACTTCCTAGCTTATAATTTATTACTTTGTATTTTTTTCTATCTCTTATATATATATATATATATATATATATATATATAAAGACAATGTACTGATATATTTTATTACTACTCAGGCTTTTACATAGTTCATCCAAATTCCAAACCTTCTTCGGTCACCCTTTTCTCGTATATCCAGCCATATTTTAGAATCAGATCAGAATTTTCTGCCATTTCTTTGACTTCGAACAAATAAATGTTTTATTATAATGTAAGACGAATAAATAAAGACCGAGTATATAAAATTATTTGAAATCTCTCCTTCTCTCATGGAAATTATTAATATTGATTTTAGCTGTTTATACACAAATCAATTTTGCGCTTTTCTCGTTGATATTATCGTCAGTAAATATTTGATATCATAGATAGGCGCGCATTCAGATGCGTTGGAGGCCCTCAATATTCTGCTGTATTTTGTACATGAAATTTGTATCGAGATTTTATTAAAAATTGTTTAAATTCTATACCCATCGAGCGTTATTTCCTACGATATGCTTAAATTGAAATATTTTTCAATGAATTTGGACATGTATTTGGGAATTAAATTTTCATTTTTATTATTATTATATATTTTAAATCTACAATGTTTAATTCGATATATTTTATATTTCTTATAGAAATACATATATATCTACATATACATACATATATATATGAACTTGATAAAAAATCCAGCGAATTACCCGTTATTCCATTTTTATTAATACCAAGGCATCAGAACATAATATATAATTTATAAAAAGTTTTAACATTTTAAATAAAACTATCCTTTCGGAGTTTTTCGATTTAATTTGATTTTTGGTTCCCGACGTTTCGAATGCTGTACAGCAATCATGGTATATATATATATATTACAAGACTATATATATATATATATATATATATATATATATATATATATATATATATTCCTTTCCCAATTTACCTTACGTTAATTTATTAGAAAAGTTTCGTCGTATCAGATTCATAGCTTATGAATACATTAATTAAAACAAATAAAATATTTGTTACATTTATCATATTTTATGCCAGTTTTAGATTTCTACGTTAACGAGCTTCTCGACTTCAAAAGAGTCTCAATTAAACATTTTGCTCTGGTTGTGGTACATTGTGGCATGCAGTTTGTTGAGTCAACCGTTAAAATATACGTATGTTAGCCTATATATTAGAATATCGTCACAACAGGTTCACAATGGAGAGAATTTGCTATCTCCTTTTTTGATGTGGTATACATATATATTTTATAACATTACACGTTTTGTGGGTTTGCTCGTGTATAATTGAAACGTATTAGTTATTTATGTTCCAACTTCCAGCGTGACTGTTTGACACTGTTTAGTGAACGAAGTTGAATAGGACCAATCAAATCATATAATTATTGACTATTAGTTTTTCTATACTAATATTATAAAGAGGTAAAGTTTATAAATTTGTTAGGTAGGTGTTAAGGGGTAATCTCTGGATCTACTGAACCGATTTAAATGAAATTTGGTAAGATGGTTTGAGACCCTGGGAAGGATATTTTTATCCCGGAAATAATCCATTAAGGCGGTGAAAATCGGGATGAAAGTTTGTATGGGGAATCAACCAATGGGTAATATTATAAAGAGGTAGAGTTCATCCGTTCGGATGGTATGATATAATGTAACTTGATTTTAAGGAGTTTTTGCCTGAAAGAAAGGAAGAATTACTACATCCTGACTCAGAACAATATGATATTTTTTATCAGAGCTACTTATACGAGTATCAATGGTTTATATTGGATATTAGAATGTTATAACTTGTAACTGTCTACTTGATCTAGTGTTTAACATACGGCTACGTCTGGAGGTCCTGGGTTCAAATCCACGGTCGGCTTATAATCTCGTTTTTCGTGTTGAATTATTGTAGAGAGAGAGAAAGAGAAAAAGGCATACAGAGTACAGGGGTGATACGTGATGTTGTTTATATGAAAATAAGATCATATCAATCCTTTCGACTGCCATTGCCAAAGCAATTCTGAGTCGTATTCATTTGAAAATAAGATACAGAACACAATATTAGAATATTTTTTACTACCCAAAAGGGCTAAATATCAGATACTAACCACCTATAAATAGTTTAATACGGAAAGTCCTAATAACTATCTTCAACAAAATATTTACAAAGTCATAAAGTTATGAATGCAGGATACTGGTTTAATGCAAATTTTATTTCCTGAAAACTATCTTTGAGTACAACAATGTCGCCTTAAAGCAGATTATGGTGTTTTAACGATATTCCTCTATAGTAGATGTCGTCAAATCACATTACTCTTCAATAAACACTGTAAAAATTGCGGTGCATTTTTAAATCGACTCTAACGTTTGCGTAAGACTTTTATTGCGTGTTTATCACTATTTACTTTACCTAAACCATGTTGTTTTCACTTCATATGTTCGACTTCATAATATGAGATTTACATTTAATATATTTCTATGTATATTTAGGTAGGTATAATTTTTTATTATTTTAAGTATCGATATTTTTAATTTTGAATATAACCCAAAAAATCTATCTAGCCATCCTTTATTGCTATGACTTCCAAAAATCTAAAATAATTAAAAAGTTAAAAAAAAAACAAACAAAACAAAATGAAATAAGGATTTCTAAATCAATGTTATGTCCTATATGAATGTCTCAGATTATCCATCTTTTCTTCAGTACTTAGCAAACAGACATAATATTATGTTAATACTAGCGACTCACCCTCGCTCCGCTCGGGTTCGTCCCTAGTTAAGTTTTAACGTTTAGTATAGATTTCTCAGAGATGAGATATTTTTCCGCGGTAAAAAGTATCTTATATGTTGACCCGGATAACCAGCTATCATCATACCAAATTTCATAAAAATCTGTCCAGTGGTTTTCTCGTGATGCGGTAACAGACAGACAGACAAACAGACAGACAAAAATTCTAAAAACTATAGATTCGGCCTCTGTATCGATAATAATGTCTACTTCAATAAGATTTTCCAAAAAATATTTAATGTACAGATTTGGCTTAGTTAGAATTTTATTATAGGTATGTATAGATAATGCATATATTGTTCTAAAATAAATCAAATTCGGTTCATTTAGATATATGAGTACTACTACACGAACCGAATGTGCAAATATGCGAATACGCAGTGCAAAGTGAATATGTCCTGTTAATTTATTTCAATGACTCTACGACCCATGTAGAGCGAGGAATAGCTATTGAAGAGATGCGATAGATTTAGAATTATTAGTGTACCATACCATAATGTTATCTTTTTACCGTCTGTATATATCAGTGGTAGTACCTACATACATACGTTTTCTATGTTAAGATAGTAGTAGTTAAGTTCGATTTCCACTGTTAATATGTATGTATGTATGTATTTAGCCCTTTTTAACGTTAGACTGCTGGGCACGGGCCTCCCTTTAGTACGAGGGGGATCAGGCCATAGTTCACCTCGCTAGCCAAGTGCAGGTTGGCGGACTTCACATGTCTTTCGAAAATTTGCTAGGTTTTCTCAGACATGCAGGTTTCGTCACGATGTTTTCCTTCACCGTAAGGCAAGTGGTAATCATGTTAGAAATGGTTCGCACATGAAATATCAGAGGTGCGAGACCCGGGATTTGAACTCGCTTCACTCAGTTTCGCAAGCGACCGCGTTACCATTGGGCTATCACTGCCTCTGGCTGTTAATATATTAGTATTGATTTTTGTCTCGACCTTTGTTATCACAATAAAGAATAATTTTATGAGCCTTTCTGTTACATAATAAAACTTTTAAAAGTATTTTATTTAGTAATATTTTCTTCATTTTATTGTAAAGGAAAGTGATATGCTGAGAGAAATCTGGTTTTTGAAACATAAGTATAGCTTTTTTAGAGAAAAATATATAAAGATAATTTTAATATATACAGAAAATTTAAATTTTATTTGTAAAAACTATTGTTACTACGCTAATCACCTATTAATCTTTGACTGTACCTCACGCGTTGTTATATTTTTTTATTATTTTCGTACATATGGCCACCACGTTGCATTATTTCGATCGGACAGTATAAAATTGAGTCCCGGGACAACCGTTCTTAGTTCACTCTCGTTCGCGTCTAAATTAAGACCGTGTTTCAGCCTCGCGATGCGCTCGCGCACACCCACCGTCCGCTCAATAAAAACCAAACGTAGCACGTATTATATTTTTTTCTATCCCGACTTTTTCGAAAATCCCGTACCTGGGTAACGAATATTCATCCCGGATCCCGGACCCTGACCCCGGGCTTACAATGGTGAGTCCACTAAAAATAGATACGCATACTTTTCGCTGCCAGCTGTTATAGATGCAAATCCTAATATAATATTTATTTCCAGTCTGTGATGTGAACTTGATTTAGAAATTTTCGAGGTACAAGCACCAAAATGAAGTTCACGATTGATGTTTTGGGCATATTTTTGAAAGTAGTCGTTAGGGTAAGTTTGCTTTATCGAATAACAAAGTCGAATCACTTGATAACCTTAACTAATTTTGATGGTGTTGTGTTAAAAAAATAAAATTATTATTAGAAGAATTGAGTCAATTCGGCTAACAAGTTCAAGTATCGGGTCGAAATAATTCGATAATATAATTCAGTGATAAATACTTATTTATTCGCAACATGCTCGTTAAAAATAATTATTTTATATCAATTAATATTTACACCTTAGTTAACAATCTAAACCAATATTTCATGAGTTTTTAATGTTAATATTTATATTTACTATTTACGTTGATCTTATTTCTTTTTAATAAAATTTCAAATTAACCATTTAATTTAACTTTAATTAATTTAACATCTACACATATAATAAAAGTGTAACTGGTCGCTGTCTGTACATAGAAGATATTTGAGAAATTTAATTTACATATTGAGTTTCTATTATTTTATTATATTTATTTTATTTTTGTTAAAATCAATTTATTTAATCTCAACTTAAAAGAAACCAAAATTAACTATAATAACATAAATTTTAATTGCTCTTTGAATAACTACTTTAACATATTCTATTATTTTGTAAGATTAATTATAATTTTTACTGGAAGATTTATTTATTTAATTTTTTTTATTGAAGATATTTAAATGAAAATGAGTATCGCTGTTCTGAATATATGTATGTATATCTAGTAGTAACTATTTAATTACAAGCAAAGATACAGTAAAACAATCGTTTAGAACATTTATATTTACATCGCTACTTTGAATCAGGGTCAAAGCTGGACCTTGTACCAAAATATCAGCCCTCTGCATACAAATCATTTGGTTACGGGTACGATAATAGAATTAGAATTAAAAATATTAACTATTAGTTATAAAATAAATAAATATTGCTATAAAAAATAAATAAATATTATATATAAAATAAATACGAAGAAGAGCGAAGAGATTTTTAGAAATTAACAGATATATATATATTACGTTTTATTAAATATTTTTTAACTTTTATATTATGTTCAAAGTAAAAAAATGATAATAATTTTGAATTTTTTGTTTTGTCATCTATACAGATAATAAAATTGTAATGTGTTTATAAATATATTATTTCATAGCTATTATGAATGATACACTAGGTGGCACTAAGAAAGCATTTAATCGAAATTGTATTTACTGTGAAGCACTTAAGGCTTAAATTTGCTTGCTAAGCTGAGTAAATGAATATGATATTGTAAATATCATATTTAAATAGGTTTTTAAAGGGTCGGCAACGCGCATGTGATGCCCAAGGTGTTGCAGGCGTCCATAGGCTGCGGTAACCGCTTACCATCAGGCGGGCCGCATGCCTGATTGCCACCGACGTGGTATAAAAAAAAAATATTTAACTCAATACAATAAAAATATAGATCAAAACTAATAAATTTGTGAAAAAAGTTTTAAATCTATCTATTAATCTATCTACTATCATTTAAATTTCGCCGTTCAGGTCGTTCGACGTCACGGAATCATTCTTACAAGCACAACTTGAAAGTTATTTTTTTTTCATTTGTTGAGATATTTTAATAATCTGTCGATGTCAAAAGTCTACATTTTAGTCTGTAGTCTTTAAAATATGATTTTTATTTGTCAAAAGAATGTTCTAGCTTATTGTTTCTTTAAGAATTTAGTACCTATAATTCAATTAGATTTTGACGTGAAACGTCAGAAACGTTGTCCGTGATGAAATAGGTTGCATTAGGTTGCCATAGTAACCGTTGTTATTATCTGAAAAATGATGTCATATATGATATTCTTTCCATTGCTATCTTTAAAAATTACTTACTATTTTTACGAATTTATTTTCAAATATGCAAGATAATAATAAAAAAACAAAAATATTAAAAGCAACTCGCTGAAATAGACGTTTCACGTTAAACCGGCGCGCGGTGTGCCCCCACTTAGCCCCACCCGATTTTTTTGTGTTTTCTTGCGTCATCCCATATTTTTATTTGAAAATTCACTCGATGAAAATATCCGGTATTTTCAAATTAAATTTCTTTCCTTTGAAAATATATTTTTAGTAACTCTACCTCGTAATACACTATTTTCCAGTTGTAGACCAAACAGATTTTCTTTCAAAACAAACACGTCTTGTACATAATTTATACAAGCACGTCAGTTATTGTGTTTAAGGGTAATTTATCAGTGTATTTGTATAACATCAGTTTAAAAGTTAAGTTAAATTCATGGAATATAAGTTAGGAAAGGCAGTGGTAGCCCAGTGGTAACGTGCTCGCTTGGGAAACCGAGTGAAGCGGGTTCAAATCGGGTCTCGCACCTCTATTATTTTCATGTGTGAATCATTTCTAACATGATTACCAATTGCCTTACGGTGAAGGAAAACATCGCGAGGAAACCTGCATGTCTGAGAGAACCTAGCAAGTTCTCAAAAGACACGTGAAGTAAGCCCGCACTTGGCCAGCGTGGTGGACTATGTCCTGATGCCCCTCGTATTGAAGGGAGGCCCATGAGCAGTGCGACGTTAAAAAAATGGCTGAATACAAGTTAGGAATGATGAACATAGAAACAAGGAATATTTGTAAAAATAGGCAAATACTACATTTCACTACCTTTTTCTCCTCTGTTTGTGAACCGATTTTCTTTTTTTTTTTTAAATAAAATATCTTTGGAAAAAAGTTTTTATATAGATAGGTAAAGACAAAACAGTTTAGTAATTAGTATTATTATTTATGTGACCAAAATACGGTTTGGAAGACCGACTTTGCTTTTGACCGACTTCAAAAAATAAGAGGTACTGAATTCGTTTGTATGTATCGGAATCGATATAAATAATTCTTTTTTTTAAATCTATTCAGGTTATACTTCAAAGATATAAACGCCCTTAAGGATGCAAAAATTACAATTCAGTGATTTTGCAGCTGATTGATTTAGTTAAAAACTATTTGTGAGCTTTAATTTTAAACATGACAGTCTTTCATCAGAGTAAGGAGCGAGCAAGAAGATAAAGTAGATATTTTATCTATAAAATCACTAAGTTTATTTCTTTCCTTCCTTCAAAATTAAAAAAAAAACTTTCATGAAATTGATTCATGATTAAATAAAGAAAAAACTTTTCTTTAAAGACAACATTTTCTTTAATAATAGAGAGCACTGTGTAGCATTATATTGTTATAATTAACGTTCAATAAAATTACGAATGTTCTCGCTAATAATGCTATTTTTTCTATTTTATTCAGGAATGTATTTATTTATTTTTATTTATTTAATACTTTATTACACCAGAAAAGAAGTACAATTTTAAAATACATATTATATAAAAAAAAAAAATTCTGTGTAAAGGCGGCCTTATCACTAAAGTGATCTCTTCCAGGCAACCCATAAACCTATAAAGGAACTCTTAAGGTAGAATGGATAGGGGTTGGCGCAAAAAAAAAAAAACCAATATAACATACTTACTTATACGGTACATACTATAAATTACACATAAGTTTACATAAATAACAATAAAGAGATACATAAATATATATTACATAATATATAAGTTTAGACAATATACGTATATATTCTACAATAAACTTACATAAACAGGATGTACATAAATATACATAGACTTACAGGGATAAATAATAGTCTTTAAGACGACGTTTAAAAACTTGCACTGATTTTGACTGGCGAATATTATGTGGTAAAGCATTCCATAATATTGCGGCTTTGACTGTATATGAGTCACCATAGCTTTGGGTGCGACTGACGGGCAATGCTAATTTACTGTCAGCTTGCGATCGAAGGTTTAGGGAATGGCCAGAACCAAGGAAACTAAACCTTGTTTTAAGGTAAGGAGGAGTGTGGGAGTGAAAAAGGATGGTGTATAGGAGAGTGAGGATATGCAAGTTACGACGCTGCTTGACGGTGAGCCATTTGAGTTGAGCTCGATATTGAGAGATGTGGTCAAATTTTCTCAAACCGTAAACAAATCGGATTGCCATATTTTGTAGACGTTCCAATTTATTGAGGTGAATCTGCGACAAGTCAGGATAGCATGTATCGGCATAATCAAGTAAGGGAAGGAGAAGGGTTTGTGCTAGAGATACTTTGGTTTTTATTGGTAAAAAATTTTTCCACCTCCTCAAACGACTAATTACAGCGAAGAACCTCCTACTTACTTCAGAAATCTGGGGCGCCCATGATAAGGAATTATCCATTATAAGGCCTAGATTTTTAACAGAGCTGCGAATTTGCAATATAGTGCCGTCGAATAAAATAGGTGAAAGGGATGATGTATTAATTTTGGATACTAGCTGACGAGAACCAAATAGGGATACCTGCGACTTACTTGGGTTTACAAATAACCCAAACGATTTACTCCACGTACTTACAGTATTGAGATTAGAATTGAGTTTGGCTATGGCATCATGAAGACTGTCTATGGGTGTTGTTACATAGATTTGCAGGTCATCAGCATAAAGGTGAAAAGGCAATGATAGAAGCTTAGTTATGGAGTTGATGAAGATAGAAAAAAGGAGAGGAGATAGGACACCGCCTTGAGGGACACCCGCTTTCAGGTAACAGAAGGATGAGTGCTTGTCCTCGACACGAATGCATTGCTTGCGATCATAGAGATAGGAGCGGAACCAGTCAACAGCATTCGACGATATATTCATTGTCTGTAGGATTGCTAGGAGAATGTCAAAGTCTACAGTGTTAAAAGCATTTGAGAAGTCTAATAACGCAATTATGGTAACTTGCTTATTGTCAATCCCGTTCCTTATATCATCGCAGATTTTAATCAGAGCAGTGGTCGTGCTATGTCCAGGTCGAAATCCGGATTGGTAGGGGCTGAGCAAATTATACGTTGAAAGGTGTAATGAAAGTTGGCTGTGGACTACACGTTCAAGCACCTTAGAAAGAAAAGGAAGTATTGAAATTGGTCTATAGTGACAAAACGATGAGGGATTGGAAGTTTTTGGAATGGGAATAACATGAGCTGAACGCCAGCATCTT